CCTATGCTAACGTGGTGCGGATGATGTCAGTCTTAGTCTCTGAGCGTTCTGTCACCATTGACATCGGCTAATCGTTATATTTTTTTCATTCATCGCTGATTTGCGATGGCTCTGAGTTCATCGTAGGCTCGCGATGTCTTTGATCTCATCTCAGGTTCGTAGCGATCTCGAATTCATTGTCGGTATTATGTCTTTGAGTTCATCGCAGGTCTGTGGCGACCTTGGGCTCATCACGAGCTTGTGTAGGCTTTGAGCTCATCACAAGTCTGTGCAGGCTCTGAGATCATTGCAAATCTATGCCGAGTTGTGAACTCGTCGCGGGTGTCTCTGTAACATTGATTTAGCACCTTCTATGTTATTGCGATTGTGATGATCAACATATACCTACACAAAGGACTAACCAAACGGTGATCATCCTTATACCTCCTCTTATATACCCTTTTAATTTTTTTATGAGGACCTGCCCCACAAAGATAACTTTTCATTTTAGGAATTAAAAAACTTCAGTAATATGGATCAGGATCATCCAGCAATACTTAGAATCCCCAACTTTCTGAGTGACATTAAGACTCTATATGGCCAGTATTTTCTTTATTATGCTTCATGGGAAAGGAAGATGGCGGTGGAAGCTTAATAACCCTTTTCTCGGGGCCAAATGGAGCGGGAGATTCACTAAGAGCTGAGATGTTGGCACTCCTCCATGGACTAAGATTAGCCTAAAGATTGGGCATCCATCAAATTGAGGCAGAAGTGGATTCAAAACTATTAATCGGTTGGATGCAGGAAGGTAGTTTGGGGATCTGGAATTACAGACAGATTATGAGAGAAACCTGGGTGCAGTCAAGGGACTTCGATGTACAATTTAATTGGGATAGAAGGTCAACTAATGCCATGGCTTATGGACCTAGCTAAATAAGGGTCAACAAAGGCTGATTTCTTTTGGGAAACTTTGTAATTTTTTTCGGAGCTGTATTCTATTTTCTATTTGTTGGCATGTTTGGAATGAGAGGAATAGATGGACTTTTGAACAACCTCATAAAAACAACAAAAAACCGTGTTTGGAGATTGGAAACGTGATTATTGATTGGGTCAAAGTTCATCCAGATTTTTCTATTGCTCAAAGAAACGAATTTGGGAATTCCTTCTGAGCAACACTTAAGATGTCTTGTGTCAGTTGGATGTGGTGAAGAGCTTAATGCTGTCTATTGCTTCTTTTCCATGTTTTTAATGTGTCTTTGGGAGTCTAATTCCCTTTCCGATCCTTGTTTTTTTGGCATATGGGGTGTTACTTTGCCATCCTTGCAGTATCTTGTAATTATTATTTTCCTTTTTAATAGGATTTCTTTTATTTTATGTTAAAAGCATTAAGATTCTTATTCTTTAGTATAGAATCTTCATGCTCCAGCACAAAGGTTCCAGCCCTACAATCTTCTGTTGTAAAACCCTCCACCCCAGATCTCCCTATAAAAGCCTTAAAGTGACCTGCTATCCTAGACTTTACTTCAATGTCAACATCTTTTCCTGACAGTACTATATTGTACCTAGTAGAACACTTGAAGAAGAAACTAGTGTGGTGGAGGGTTGGCTCAAAGATGATGATCTAGCACCATGGCATTACAAATGGTAACAAGCTGAAGGAGATCTTTTTTTATTTGGTTTGATGGGGCTACACAACAGGGGGTAGCCCATCCCACATGACCACACCCATAACCCCCAACTTTGGTGGCAACAGGATTTGATCCCAAGTCCCCAATACTTCTAGCTAGAGGACTTACCAATTGAGCCACCACCATCAGTTGGTCAAACTGAGGGAGATCAAAAGCCTAAAAAGGGAGATTGTTGGAGATGTGCCATAAATGTAAATTAGATTTATAGATCTGTCAATGGGTTTGCAGAAGCAAGGCACACTATCTGATGTAAGCAAAAGAGAAGTTGTTGGAGAGGGTAGGGTGGGTGGCCATGGTCAGACCAAGCAACATAATTTGGTTTGGCTGTAAATTACATAAATAACCCTGATTAAGTAGAGGGTAGGAAGAGACATAATGAAAAGATAATAATGCCCTTAATAACATTCTAAAGCATCTTTCAACATACCTTTATCCCATCCCTCAGGTGTTTGATTTAATTAAAATTCTTCAAGGTGTTCCTGGATCCCTCTAATTCTGATAGCTAAATTTGGACCCTCTCCTCTTCTTGATTCTTCTCTTGTGCTTCTTTCTTCAAGGCCCTAGCTTATCCCTTGCTCCTAATGCAGCCTTTTCTAGTGAAAGAGTTCTGGGGGAGACCTATCCCTCCTAGAGTAGGTGCTTTTATTGGAGAGGTTTACCATGAGAAGATTAATACTTGTGACTTGCTACAAAAAAGGAGACCTTACTCCTATCTTTCTCCTCATTGGTATGTTCTTTGCAAAGTGAATGGGGGGTCTTGCTTTCACCTACTAATCTCCTGCACATTTGCTAAAGGCATTTGGAATTGGTTCCTTTCTTTATTTGGTTGCAGGTGGACTCCTCCATTTGACATGGCAAGCCTTTTTGCACCCACTTCATTTGTGTGGCTGAAGAAGAGAGGTAGAATCATCTGGAGGTCCCTAAAAGCTGCAGTTTCATGGACACTCTGGGAGGAGAGGAATGCAAGAATTTTTAAAGAGGAGAGAAGCAAGGAGGCTATATTTGAATGCATAACTTTTAGGGTGGATCATTGGCTAAAATCATTGGAGTTTTTCTTGGGACAGTGGATGATTTGATGAGGAAGTGTCACTTACCTCGATTTTGAAGTATATGATTGGCTGTGTGTGGGCACCACCAGCAGATGGGTACATTAAACCTAATTTTGATGGAAGTAGCAGAGAGAACCCAGGCCCTTCAGGTGTTGGAGGTACTTTAAGGAATGAATTAGGGCATGTGTTGGTAATTTATTCAGGACCAATAGGCACCAGTGATTCTTTGAGAACTGAAAATATGGAAGTTGTGGGAGGGGTAAGAAGAGCAAGGGAGCTGAATGTGAGAAAACTGAATGTTGAAGGAGATTTACAAGCGGTGATTATTGGTTGCTAAACAAGGGGAATGAGTTGTTGATATACAAAAATGAATTAAAAAGGTTTAAATGGATAACCCGAGGCATGGGCATAAATTCAATGGGTGCAAAGGAATGCTAGCATTATGGCTGATTCTTTGGCAAAACAGGGGTTGGGAGGAATCAAATGTTTTGGGCTCAGTTGTTATGCTTTTGGCTTGGAGATAAAATGTTTTATCTCCAGTTGCCTTATGCACACATTGTAATTCTCTCTTAATATTTTTATGGAATTTACGGTTATTAACACTCCCATATTCTCAATTTTTTTATGTACCTCCAAAGGCATGCTACCCTGATTCTAAAAAGAAACACAAGCAATTAATTCAATGCTTCCAGCAATATAGCAATCTGATTTTCTTTCACTCAGTCGTCATCAATGACTCCACAAATTCGACTAGTCTTTTGGTAAATCTGGTGAATTCCAGAAATTTTGTAGGAATCAAGCAACTTGTCAGCGTTCATGTGTCATGTTCTGTAAACCCCTTGTGGTTTAGCAATGAGAACAAGAGAAAGCCCAAGTATTTTGAATCCATAATAGGCTTGTTTGGAACTGAAGAGAAATAGCAAGATAGATTATGCAAGTGGTCCAATTTTGCTGTCAGAATTGACCTCAATATTAACAATATCAGCCATGACAAGGATGTTGGTGGGTGGGTAATTTCCTTTCCTGACCTATCTTGGACTCTTATCAACCCCAGTAATAAGATTGGGCATGCCACACACATGTTTGGGCAATCTGGTGATGTGTCTCATTTGTAGTTGGTTGCTTTCTTGCCTTCCAGAAGCAAGAAGGCAAAAGCTTTCTTGGAGCTGTATTCCTTTTGTTTGTGTTGGGGCATTTGGAAAGAAAGAACTAGAAGAATTTTCTATTGGAAGCAAAAGGATCTGGAAAGATTGTGTGCTGAGGTGGGCAATATGATCTTGGATTGGCTCTTTGTGCATCCGAGATTTCTGAATGTTCATATTCTTTAGTAATAAATAAAAAAGGAAATTTTATTAATAAAAGAGAAAAGAGTACGCCAAGCCCTGTGATGAGAGATCACCAAAGTACAAAATAGCTCCAACACAAGAAAGAAAAAAAAATACAAAATAGCTCCACACGAAAGAAAAAAAAAAAAAAAAACAAATACATACAAAGAAAATAGACAGCAAATACATTCAAAAAATTTCTTAATGTTCATAGATCTTCATTCAGTTCAAGTTGTTGGTCTACTTTGAATTTGATCTCAGATGGTGAAGTCACAAGAGTTTGATTTGTATTTTCTGTTTTGTTCTTCTTAGTATATGTTGTTATCTGGAGTGTTACCTCATCACCCATTGCTTATAATGTATTACTATTATGTTTTAACGAGTGCCTTTAACAAAGGGATTGTTTTGGTCATGTGGCATGGGATTGTTTTGTTCTTCTCAGTATATGTTGTCATGTGGCATGTATTTCTATTATTTCTACTAGGTTTGCAACTTGGTCAGGCTCAGGTTTAGCACTTACCATATTTTGAATGGGCCCAAGCCCAACGCTCTGTAAATTTTTCAACTTGGGTACCCGATTTGCACCCCTAAGTGGAAAGTGATGAGACAAAATATGATTCCTAAGATGTATTAGGTAAAATTCTGAGAAGTGTTGATATTACTTGTACTACTTTTGGCCTGTGCACTTATTTTCCTATCTTCTTCCTACTATGCTTCTGTTGTATTTGTACTTTCTTTGACCTGTGCAGAGGAACTGTTGTAAGTTTGCCCACCTGCTTTGGTTCTGAGCAGTGTGGTTTCTTTTATTATTTAATGAAATTCAAAATTCACCCTGTTGCTTATCCAAGAAAAAATAAAACATTACTTGTACTAAATTAATATTCCTGCTTGTGTCTGGAAAGAAACAACAAAACAAATAACAGGCAATTGAACCTAGCAAGTTATTGTTTGCAGGGTAACATCTAGAATCTGCAGGAAAAAAATGCATCCTCCTTTAACATTACACAGGCATCCAATGTGCGCAGAAGTAAGTCCAGCCTTCTTCCATGATCTTTTGCATTTTAACAAATTTTCTTGTAGTACTCGTTATTTTGTATCTTTTCTTAACTAAAAAAAATAAAAATAAAATGCCCCATGCTCTACAAATACGTACGTGGGCCAATTTTATCTGCCTATTGCCAAATCAAGGGAAAAAAGAGGAAGAAAGATCTGAGCTCAGATGAATGCCATGTGTGTAGAGTTTTTGCTTGCAGAAGACCAGAGCTCAGATATTTACAAGTTACGACCCAGTTGCTCTGCCTTTGGTGTTTGCAGATCATTGAAGAATTTCGGAAGTGTCATGCGGACCACCCTGTCAAAAAATTCCTTGGCGAGTGCACAGATCTTAAGATAAAGCTTGATCACTGTTTCCGGCAAGAGGTGAGTTCCTCTTTTTATGGGATTTCCCCGTCTTCACAAAGGGTCTTCTAAAGTATGTTTCTTCTATTGGATCTTATGTTAATATATTCCATTCATTGCACAGAAAGCTTTAAAGAGGAAGGCAAACTTTGAACAGAGTAAAAAGTTGAGGGAGAGACTACAAGCTTACAGGAAGGAGAATGCTGAGAAAACCTCGTAACAGTAATCTGGACGAAAGCTTTCTGCATTGAAATAAGAATCACTGTAGATGATTGTAACAGAAATTATGGTCTGTAACCTTGTTCAATAAATAATCTGGGATTTTGACCATTTCATGCTGTATTTTAAAAATTTAATACACTTAGACAAGATAAAATTAGAGAAAACAATTTCTTTTGGCCATCACGAGCATGAGCACCTTGCGTTTGATTTATGGAAGTCGGCAGTGGAGCTAATATGTTTAAATTGCAACGCACATTTTACATGTACAGTTTTTTAATGAAAACAACTTTCAGTGGGTCTATTTTTTCCCATGTTTTTTAAATCATGGTTCAAGTTCAGGTCTTAATACGTTTCTTGACCTTTCGGGCTTGATAAAAATATTCTGCACATTGGATCTCTGGAATTGTTATTGCATAAAGATGAGTGGTATTTTAGGCAGCTTCTCTCTAGGCTACATTCACTTGGCAATTTGGCATCCACATGGAAAATCTTGTTGGCCCTTCTAACTTCTGAGGGATAAATATTTAAAAAAAAAACAAAAAAAAGAGTGGTTGGAGGAGAAATATCAACTTCTCAAAAACTCCATACTTGTTGCTTCGGTACTCATTAACTAACTTTCACTAGCAATTGTTGTGATTAAATTCGGAGGGTTTTCCCTTTTTCCATCAACAGAGTCGGTTCAGGTATAAACTCTTCTCATGGAGAAAGAGCAACCAACGGAGGATCTGCGTGAACGACCGAAGGGTAGGCAAATCTCATGGAGAAGCAGATTGCAAAACTAGGGCATGACCTAGCGCAACATGCAAAAATCATGGGTTCATATATTGAAATATCTACCGAACCAGTCGCTGGAGCAGAGGAACTCCTACAAAGAACTTTGAGAGGAAGGAGTTTCCCCCGCATTCAGGTGAGAAAAGAAAATGTCAAAACTTGTTAACAATGCGTGGGAAGTGGGAACCAAAGGAAGTTGTTCAGTGGTGGCTGGATCCAAATGCATAACATCCCCAGAAGGTAGAGGTGTACCATCCAGTCCAATGTGAGTCCACTTACAAATGGATTGGACCCAATCCAGTCCAAATCCAATTCAATCCATTAAAATATAAATGGACTGGATTGGATCCAATCCAAACCAAATGAAATATCAAATATTATATAAAAAACAGAACATATGAAAAATTACAAAAATATATTAAAATAAAGAAAATCTGAATATTATAAAAATATAAGTACTTTTGTATAAGTGATTTTGTAAAAGTACTTTCATAGAAGTGCTTTTATAAAAGTGTCTTCATAAAAGTGCTTTTGTAAAAATGTTTTTGTAAAAGTGCTTTTATAAAAGTGTTTTCATAAAAGTGCTTTCTTGTAAAAGTACTTCTATAAAAAAGTGCTTTCATAAAATTACTTTTATAAAAGTGATTTTATAAAAGTATTTTCATAAAAGTGCTTTCGTAAAAGTATTTTCGTAAAAGTACTTTCATAAAAGTTATTTTATGCTGGATTCAATTTTGATTGGTTTCGAATTGAACAAGGGCTTGGGCTCATGGATGATTGGAAATTTGGTTTAGGTCCAATTCAGATCAATAAGAACATGAACCAATTTATTTTGAATTGGCCCAATCCAATAATTATAATGGACCGTCTAAATCCAATCTGATAAGGTTTGGATTTGATTGGATCCAATCCAAAACCAATCAATTGACACCCCTACCAAAAGGCACATTTCGGATCAAAACTATAAGCTTTTTATTTATGCAGCAGATAGAGTTCTCTCAAAGAACGGTGAAATCAAAAATGGAACCCCTAACAAGGGTAAAGCGATTCAATTAAGAATAGAAGTGGCCTTACGAAAATCTCTTTTTTGGGGGTTTTGCTTTAAACAACAACAACAATCCCACCTAGATTTGCGTCACCTATGAAGGTTTGACCAAACTATGTATCTATTATGGGCTAGTTGGTCACTCCTAGAGAAAATGCAGGCAACTTCCCACTGAAGCCTCACTTGATGCAATTCAAAGGGAGCTAGACGATGGGAAAGTTGACTCGATGGGAGAATGGTCGAGGGTAGACTTTAAGTTGGACCAACTGTTAAAATGTCCAGATCTTAGAAAGGAAGCCTCTCCCTGCCGACAACTCCAGATAGTCAGGAGGGAATGGAGCTCAGATGAAGACTCTGGAGATGAAAATGGCATGAACAAATGATAAACAACAGCTAAAAATGCTCTTCAGTCACTCCAGTCACCATCCAACAACAAAGGAAAAACCTACATACAACTTGGAGGAGGTGAACAAGGTGAGTCTTCAACCAAGAGAGAGCAAAGCAAGAGTCAAGCTATAGTGCAACCATGAAGAGACAATGAAACCCAAGGAAGGGAACTGATCCTCAAAATATTAAATCATTGTCGGTGTCAGATAAAGAGAATGAAGAGAATATGCAAGTATGCTCCACTATTTTAGGAGGCATTGGCCTAATAAATCTAACAACTATGGAAAAGCGAAGAGGTAGGCCCTTCAAATTCTAGACTTCTCTAAAAGACCATCTCAAAGGGAAAATGAAAGCTACAAAATTAGTAGCACCCTTGGAAAACTATCTCCAACAGAAGCGAAAAAGTCCTAACAAAATTTGAAACTGGATTGCAAGCATCAGGGAGGATTGCATTCTCAACCCCATGATGGGGGTGGAGTCGGGAATAAACCATGACAATATATGCCTAATCTCCGAAGAAACTAATGCAAGCCTAAAGCAATTGGACCCTTACGTACACTTTGATGACTTTAATTGGTGGAAATAATGGGAAAACCTTCAAACTCTTGATTAGTAGTTGGCAACACTAGCCCCGTTCATTCTTTAGGTATTTGAGTGTCTTTACACAATGTATTTCACATTTGCGATATCAATATATTATTTATATTTCTTTTTTTACTTAGTTGTCTATTATACTTTATATTCGATGAGAATCCTTGCTTGGAACATTAAAGGGTTGGGAATAGAGAAACTCAAAGAACTATCAGGAAACTCTCCCACGCTTACAACCCAAATATCCTTTTCCTATCTAAAACAAAACTGAATAAAGAAGAAACCTCTAAACTTTGCAAAAGAGTGAAATATTACAAGTATGAAATTGTAGAAGCATCATGGTTTAGATGAGGCCTACTTTGTTGCTGGAATGATGAACTATAAATTGGAGTCACGGACTCAAACAATATACTACTTGAGCTCAAAATCTCCCAAGGACCTGAAAAACTAAATTGGTACATTCTATTCATCCATGGACATCCGAGTAGGGGAGATAGAGCTTCTTTCTAGGAGAATTTCTCCATCATGAAAAAACTTTATAATGTCCAAACCTTGGGTATTGATGGAATATCTCAATGATTTAATCTCCTAGCAAGATTATGAAGGGTCAAGCTCTACGATCCGAGCCTCTCGTCCCCTACAAGAAATCCTATATATTTTTTCTCTCTAAAGTTGAAAGTTCTTGTCCCTTCTTCACCTGGTCAAATAAATAGAAGGGTAGGAGACTTTTGAAGGAAAAAGGCTAGATAGGGCTCTAGCAAGTGGAGCTTAGTTGGAAACTTTTGTGGATGCAAAAATAGAGACTCTACCGGCTGTAAATTATGACCACATTCCTATTGTTCTTAACACTCTTCCTTCGACTCACTCAAGAAAGAAAGTATTCCACTTCCTCCCACTGTGGGCTTAGCATGAAGATTGTGAGAATATCATCTCAAAGAAAGAACTGGGATCAACCATTCTAAGGGTTAGAAGCCTACAAAATTACCCACAAACTCGAAGTCATTAAGAAAGAATTAAAACATTGGAATAAAGAAATCATTGGCATCATAAACAATAAATTAGAAGCCCTAGAAGAGGAGTTACTTGTGGAACAACAAAAAATCAATCAAGTCAATGGATCACAAGAGGTTGGAAAATCTGCAAGGCAATATAATCAATGGCTAACTTATGAGGAGAAACTGTGGCAACTCAAATCAAGAGAATTGTGGTTAAGGGAATGAGACAAAAACACTAGATTTTTCTACCTCCAAACCAAACAAAAAATGGGATGGAATTATATAGGGTGGCTACAAGACATAAATGGATATTGGGTCTCTAGTTGAGAGAAAATAGCCCAGCTTTTTAAAAACCATCTTCAAAATATAAGCAACCAAGAGGAAAATTTCAAACCCTCTTGGCTTGAAGACCTAATCTCACCAATTCTATCAGAAGATGACAGATCCACCATAGTTCTCTTACCTCAAGAAGATGAAATTAGAAGTTCTCTCTTTGAGATGAACGCTCACAAATCCCCAGGACCAAATGGTTTCACTCCATACTTCTTCCAAAAAATATTAGCATGTTTTGGGGATGAACATAAATAAAACGATCCAAAGCTTCTTAGGTAGTGGCAAATTACTAAGAGAACTAATCCACACCTACATTGTTATTATTCATAAAAAGAAAGGGGCAAATTATGTAGATCAATGCAAACCCAACAGCCTATGCAATGTCTTATATACACTTATAGCCAAAATTCTAGCAAACAGAATGAAGCCCCTTTTGCCAAAGATTATCAGGCAAAATCAAGTAGCCTACATTAAAGGAAGACATATCACAAACAATATAATTCTAGCAAAAGAGGTTATACACAATTTGAAAATCAAAAAGGAAAAAAAAAAAAAGATAGGCTACTCTGGAGATTGACATGGCCAACTGGGCATTTCAAACTAGTGATGCAAGTTAATTCAACAATGCATCACTACCACCCCCTCAATTAAATTGAATAGAAGCTTAGTTGAACACTTTTATACCAAAAAAGGCATGAGGCAAGGGGACCCTCTATCTCTATATCTCTTTGTAATCAAAATGCAAGTCTTATTTGCACTTTTGAATCAAGAGGAACAATCAAGGGGATTAAGAGGGTTAAAACTTTATGCAAGAGCAAACCCTATTTGTCGATGACTGCCTAATCATTTATGAAGCTTCACCAGATTCCTTCATAGCAATACAATATGTGCTGAAGAAATTTGAGAAAATAGCATGATAGAAAATAAACTACAACAAATCAGGTGTTATCTTTAGCAAAAACACTCATATAATTCACCAAAAATCCTATGTAGAGACATGGGAATGGAAATAATGAGCATGAAATCCAAATATTTGGGAGCATGAATAGAGGATGAAATAATTAAATCTCACATCTACAAGTAATTAACTTCCAAGGTGGAAAGTAAACTAGCTCACCGGAAAGCCAAAGTTCTCTCCTAAGTAAGAAGAACCACTATGTT